TCTTTGATTTTTTTTTATGCGCTTTTTTTTGTGGGTTTATTCTTGATGTTCTACTTTTTTTTTAAATTTTGTTAAATTGCATAATAGGAACGGCAATAAGTTACACTCTTAAAGTGTATAATTTACCCGATCGTCAGATATGGTCAAGTTATTGTTGTTAATTGCCACAAATAATTTTGAAACATATTTGAGGCTTTTCTAAATCTTAAACTTTTCAAATGAACACAATTTACAAGATTGAATTTTAAAATGGTTCCATACCATAATGCGTCAGTTCATACTCTCAAAAAATTGACTTGATTTAAAATATTTTCCTAACGACAATGGTCACAAATTTTATTTTATTCAATTGATTTCTTTTTGAGGAAAAGTACTGTACATTGTAGTTTAGTTTTCAAATCTCATCTTATTAGAAAATCTTGTGACATTTTAAATTAAATTTCTATCACTTTGAATAAATAGCGTGCTTAATTTCTAGAAAATAATAGTACATAAGTACTCACATTGTTTAAATTACACTATAAGTGAAACACTCTTCTTGATCCACAAATTCAAATTAAGACAAAAAAACTTGCACTGAACACAATTTTTAGACGATTTTATTATATCAAATATAAGGGTATAATAATAGATGGTCGTTACAACGAAAAAAGAAATTTCTTAAATAAATAAAAGCAAAACAAAAAAAAAAAGAGAAGAGTAAAAGTTTCATGATACAAGAGAAGAGTAAAAATCCTTTAATACCTTTGACTAAGTATGAGGAAAAGAAATTTTTTAAGTCAACAAAAAAATAAAAAAAAAAATTAGTGAATGGGGGCGGACGCGAACAACTTAATAAAGATTTACAAAAAAAAAAGTAATAATAAAATATTTGCTTTTTTTGGGTAGTGGTTTTATTATTAATATGTACAAACAAAGTGAAATTAGTAGCACCATAAAAAATGAATCTCCTCTCCTTGTTGTTTTTTTTATTTGCTCTTCTTTTAGTGAGTTTTTTTTTCTTCTTAGCACTATAACTACAAAATTATGTAAACTACTAAAATTATAAAATCATTTTGTACATGGAAAATTACAAAAAAAAAAACAAAGATCGCATATACAATATGAATGTTAAAAAAGAAAGGGAGTGGATATTGTCCTAGAGAATTTTTTAGTAACTTTATCTCTGTTAAAAGAAGCTTAAATGCATAAAAGGAACAAATTAAAGAATTCATCATAAGCACAACTAAAAACATTCTTTATGAGTGTTTAAAGAGATTAAAATGAGAATTTTATTTTCAGAATTTTCATTTTTCTTTTTATTTAATATTTTTGATTAATAATATAAAAGAAAAATAATTGTGCATTCATATTTTTTTTTTATTTTATAATTTTATTTAATAAAATATGAAACAAAGTTAAGGTTTGTTGTGTGATACATTGAAAAAAAAAAATAAAATATTTCTTTTTCAACAAAGAGAGTACACAAAGAGAGTAAGAGATGATTAACTATTGTGAATTTGAAATTTTTATTTTTCGTAATCTTTTTTGATAAATCATGAGATTTTAGGAATTTTTCAAGTACGAGTATGTACGAGGAATTTGGATTGTATACGTAAATATGTTCATACATTGTAGAATTTGAATTATTGATGAGAAATATAGGTAAAGAAATTTCCCCCCTCGGACCACCGCAGTCAGTCATGAGTTATTGTAGTCCTCCCATATTCCACTGACACTAAGCCCGATTCCAAGTAAATACCCGGAGATGTCTCTCAGGAAGTTAGACTCGAGCTCCGCAACACTGAGAAAGCCTCGTCCAAACCATCTGTCGAATTCTTGTAAATAATTTCATCTAAAATTGTGAACTTGAATAAAAATAAAGTACAACTTAGAATAAGTAGATAGAAAAAATAAAGCGCTAGTTTCAGTTCGTCAGTCTTGTGAGTGAGAATTGGTGTGAATTGGAAGAACTCATGTGTTGATGAATTTCATTTTTTCAACCATTTTTATGGTTCAGATCCTAGAAAAAGGATCGGAAAGTAATGAGTTTTCGTTTTATCCCACCCTATTTAGTATATCTATATTTTATTGTCTATAATTGCAATAATAATAATTATAGTTTCTACGTATACTGCTGATAATTTATTATCAGTATGCTTTTATATAATAAGTAGTGCTAAATTTTGAATATGTATATTGTATATAACGTACATTTAAATTTAATTAGAAAAAACTTTTATTTAAATTTTCATATTTTATTATGAAAGCTCTAGACTAACAATGAAATTTTTTGTAAAAATAAATTTCTATCATGGTTTATCTTAATTGTATTCATTTCGCTTATTTGTTTTTGTAAATAATATACATACATACATATTTAGTTCTAATATATCACATAATTGTACATAATATTTATACATTGCATTTTTTTTTTATATTGCTTTTTGCTTTTTTTTGTACTCAGCTACATACTTATTAAATTAGTTTTACTAATATTCAAAATATTAGAATATTAACAGGTAAGAATATTGATGTAGATGGCATGTAAAAAATAATAACATTTTTTTAATTTTCCTTTAAGAAATACCATTAATTTTATTTATATTTTTTTTTTCTTTCAATTAAAAATATGAGATGCAGATTTTTTCGATTTGTTTTTATTTTTCTTATAAAAGAGTTTTAAATATTTAAATAAATATTTTTTTTTTGAAGTTTAATATGAGTTTAATATTTCGAAATTCGTTTAAATAGGATTTTTAGTACAATTTTATTGTAAAATTAAATAAAAAATACACCATATGGCAATGATTTTTCGTTCAAGTTTTTTAATTTATCATAATAAATGTTTAAAAAAAATTTATAGATTTATATTGAATTTTATAATTTTAACCTTTTAGTACTTGAGAGCCGAATTTGAAAATTAAATTATATAAAATATTCTTAATTTCAACATAAAATCCAAATATTATTCTTTCAACTCCAAAAGTTTTGTAGTTTTGACTACTAAATTTTTCTTGAATTAAATTGAATACTAAAATAAATTGATTTTTTAATTTAAAAATAAACAAATAAATTAAAAGACGTATTTCAATTTTCAAATAAATTATTTCTTATTGTGTACATATGTATGTATGTACATAGTTTTATGCTAAAATGTATATCACGTATCGAGACTCGTAAAAAGGCGCATGTATTTTTTCTTTAAATAAAATCATTACTATTTTAATTGCATAACGTTAGGAGCTTTATTATACTTGGCAAATAAATTTTTTAATACTTTTACTTTTATATTTATTTTTTCTTCCAAATTCTTTCTTTTTTCCCCATCTTATTTGCCAAAAAAAAAAAACTTTTCTAGCAAAAATATTAAGTTATCATAATTCATTTTCTATTTTTATTATAGAAATTTAACAAAAATACGATATTTTCTCGTATAAAATAATTCTGTTTTATCACTATTAATTGAAATATAAAAATAAAACAGATTTTTTGTTTTAAATCATTGAATTTTTTATTAAAAAAAAAAAACTATTTAAATCCAAATGTACTGCAATTTTGAAAGTAGGTTTAAATAGATAGGAATTTAATTGAATATGAATTAAATAAACGCCAAGTACACGAAATATTTTTTATTAATTTAAAGCCAATTTTATTATCTCGTCATTGCGGCATTTTTAACAGACAAGATAATTCTGTGGTAACCATTTGTAGGACATGTGTATTTTTAGTACAATTTTGAAATTATTTAGTACAAAATAAATGTTTTTAACATGTAATTAGAAAATTTTTATTTCATTGTTATTTTTACCTATAAATGTGAATTTAATAAAATTTTTAAAATTAAAAACAAGAAACTAAGATTACCATAAATTTTCTTTTGGCTTTATTTTATTTTTTATAAAATTATGTTTTCTTTTTAATTTTGGATTTTTAATAACAAGAATTTTTTTTTTTTTTTTTTTGAGTTTCTTGATCTTTTAATCAAAATAATATTATTTTTGTCTTTTAAAATATATAAAAAAATTTAAAAATAAATTTAAATTTAAAAATAAAAAATTATAAAAATTAAATTATATTTGTTAAGAATTCCAATCAACATGTTGTAAGAATTGTTTTAATTTTAAATATTGAAATTAAAATTTTATTATTAATGTATGATTAAATTAGGGACATTTATGAAAATTGAATTTTCTACTTCAAATATATATGTACAACAAATATATATATTGAATAATATAAATGATTTATTTAATATGTTTGGTCTGGTTTCTAAAATCAAAAAAGATTTTTGACAAAATTAAAGAGAAAAACTAGTAGTTATATTCTTTGGGCGGATAATGGAATCGAAAATTGATTTTTTTTAAAGTTAAGGTGAAAGTGGTTAATATAAGCGTATATAATATAACAAAATGTTGAAAATTTCGTTTAAAATCTTAACAGTATTCATACAACTTCAAAAACTCAATTAAGTACGGCAAATGTAGAATTTTAAGTTGTAATAAAGTTGTAAAAAGAAAAAGTTTGGTTTATTTGTGATAGATAAAAATGAAAAATAAAAAATATCGAAAAAATTATGCATCTTTTATTAAAAAAATTTGAGAAAAGTAAAAACAACATAAATATTTTTTTAAATATAAATTAAAAATAATTAAATTGAATTAACACAAAATATGTAATCTCATCAGTATTCTAAAAATGGGTAAATATTAATAAAATTAATTTTTAAAATTAAGTGTAATATTAAAATTTATTTTCATTATTTAAATCAAATTCTTTGTAGTTATTTTGTAGCAATTTATTGGAATTTTGTATATATATATAATTTTAATTATATATTATTATTATATTTTATTTGTTATATTTAATTTATAATATTATTTTAATTTTAGTAATGTATTAGAATAATTTTATGTTGTGTAAAACATATTTGGTTTTTTTTTATACACCTACATATTTCAAATATGTAGTTTAAATTTTAAATAAAAATAAATAATTTTGGTTTTTTTTTGGAATTTCAGATATGCGGCATATTAATTATAGCTTTTGGTGCTATGATGTTCACTGACGTCAATAGTATTAAAGATTTGGGTGATGCTTTTGCAACACAAGGACTTCCAGTTGCATTAATTATATTGGGTTCAGCTATATTAATAATATCATTCTTTGGATGTTGCGGTGCGATTAGAGAATCATCATGCATGTCAATGACTGTAAGTTTTTATCTTTTTTTTTAAACTATTCAATTTTGTACTATACAATATTTTTTTTTTTTTAGTATGCTGCTCTATTATTTGTCCTTTTGGTATGTCAAGTTGCATTGATTGTATTTGCATTCTTAAGTAAAACAGAATTTATAAATGAAGTTGCTAAAATAGTTGATAAAGCTTGGGATGAACGTCACAATACTCGTACACTTATGGATAGCTTGGAAACTTCAGTAAGTATAAACATAATTAATCTTAAGGGGTTTTAAAAAAAAAAACCTCTTAATTTTTATAATTAAAAATTTTATTTTACTTAAATTGTACTCGTATTTTTTTGTTTTTAGTACAAATGTTGCGGTAAAACTGGTTACAAAGATTATTTATTGAATGTACAATTACAATTACCAAAAACTTGTTGTGATTTAAATGCCGATTCATGTATACCATTAGTTAATGCTTATTCAGTTGGTTGTAGATCAGCTGTTACTCAATGGTGGGAAAAGAATTGGGATCTCATTAAATATGTTGGTATCGGTATTGCAGCAGTTGAGGTAAATAATTTATAATCAAATATTTTCATATTAAATTTTATACAAATTGAACAAATTTAATTTAAACAAATTTTTTGTTTTTTTTTTTTTTTAGTTTATTGGACTCGTATTTGCTTGTTGCTTAGCAAATAATGTACGTAATTACAGAAGAAGGTCAGCATATTAAATACATACATACATATATATTTTTTTGATAAAAATAAAAGAAAAAAAATTTACAAAACGCTCAACTTTTCAACATGATAAAAACTTTTTATTATTAATAAATAATAATATATAATATAAATATAAATTATTCATTTGAAATAATAATTTGAATATATTCTAAATTTTAATACATATAAAATACTTATTATTTTTTTTTTCAATGTAATTTGAATATAGATTTTAATTTTAATTTAAATTTTGGATAGAATTTCTTAAATAATTTGTTTATTATTTTCTACAAATTAAATCAACAAATTTATGTAATATGAATTTTTAAAATTATATGTATTTGATATATAAAAAGTAAATAAAATAAAAAACCAATAAATTTACCAAAATAAAAAAAAAACAAAGATTTTAATTATTTTCTTCTTTAATAATCTAATAAATTAATAATGTGCTTTTGTTTTTAATTTCTCAAAACAAATTAAAATATATATGAAAATATTTCTATTTAAATAAGCAAATTATTCTAAAGTTTCTTTAATTTTTTTCAAAATTCATTAAAAAAAATAATGTTAAATATGAATGGTAATTAAATATTAATGTTAATTTTATTTAATAATATCTATACAAAATATTATGGATATGTATTTGTACACTTATTAAAAAAAATTAAATAATTATAGAAATTTTTAATATATTTAATGTTATTGCAGAATTTTGAGACTTTTAAAGCAAAAAAAAAAATTTGAAATTTCCTACTATTATTTTCATAAATAAAAATTTTCTAATAATAATCAAAACACATACAAAACATGACTTAGGCCATAAATGTGAGTCTCTAAAAAATAAAGTAGTAGAAATTTCATATTTTTTTATTCAATTTTAAACTAAAAACAATAAAAAAAACAAAAAGAAAATATATTGAAGCCTTACAAAAAATTAATAAGATTTACAAAAAAAAAAAAAATTTCAAAGTGTTTTTAAACAAAGTAACACAATACATAATACTTTTTACACTTTATAATTATTTAAAAAATAAGTAAAAGAAAAAAAAATGAAAAAAAAAAAGAACAAAAATGTACAGAAAAACTTCAAGCTTTGTTTTAAAAAAAAAAGCAAAGTAAAAATAACACCATCAACTTTTACATACAGGATCAAATCGGTTTGTTTTTGGGAGCGAGAATTAGATTTTAATAGTGAATTTAGTTTTTAAAAGTTTTTTTTATAGCAGAACTAATTTTTTATACGAGTATAGCACAATAAAATTAATTTTAGATTTTCTTTTTTAAAATATTTAGAATTTAAATATCTTTTTGAAATGTAAAGTACAAAATAGAAGCATTATAAATATAACAAACAGGCACGGTACGCACGGCAGTCACACAAATAAATTATAGAAACAAATATTTTTTATTAAACTTTTCTTTTTTTTAAGAATTTTCAATATGACTGTAATTACTTTAAATTTTTAATAAATATATTTTAATTTTTAAAAAATGGGAATAGATGGGAGGAGATACAAAAAAAAATCCTGTATGTTTTGCAAATTATTAAAAATATTGACACGCAAATATTCAAAAAAAAAAAAAACCAAACACACAAAACTAAGCAAATAAAATTTAAAAATTATCTAGATTTAAAAAAAAAATTTAAATTTTTAAAAATTTATTTAAAATCGACCAATTTTTATTGTATGTACACTTTTTACTAAACAAAAAATTTATATATATATATACATATATTTGTACTAATAAAATTTACATAAATTTTAATAAATATTGAAAATAAATATAAAAAGAGAAAAAAGATCCTCAATTTTCGAACGAAACTTTGTTCAATAAGAACCTAAAAAATTAAGTCGTCCTTTTATTTTTTTTTTTTGAATTTTCAGTTTAATTTTCTATTTCTCATTATATAACAAAACTAAATTTATAAAATTTATAAAACATTTTTTTAAAATTTCATAAATAAATATGAATTTTAGGTAATTAAGTCTCTTTTAAAAACGAAATATGGCATAATTAAAAATTCAATAATTTTATAAAAAAAAGGAAAAATACTACTTTATAATATTGTTGTTACTAATTTAAAAAAAAAAACGATCTACATTTGGTAAACAAATTCTATATTTTGCAAACAAAAAAAATAAAAAAAAAAATAATATTCAATTCCGTTCACATATATTATGTACCTATATAAATTTGTATAAGTACGTATAATTAAAATTAATTGCCTTTAAATAGAGTTCGAGATGAGAGAAGTTTTTGTAAAAAAAAAAACAATTTTTTTTTTGAATTAAATACAAAATTTTTTAAATATTTAACTTTTAAATGTTATTGGTATTTCAATATTATTATAATAAATTAGTGTATACGTATGTATTATTAATTATAAATAAAAGAGAAAAATATCCTTATGAAGGTAAAATTTTTGTGAAAATTATATTGCATTTGAACAAAACTATGATTTGGTTTAAAAAAAAAAAAAAAAGAATTTATTTTTTGTTTATTTTTCAAAATTAAAAGAATTCCACGGTTTAATAAATCTATCAGAATAATATTTAAAATTTAATATTAGTATTAACTTTTATAATAATCCTTTTATCCTTTATTGCATACGTACGAGTACCTCTACATAGAAAATATGTATGTACAATATACCAATTTTTTTTTTGTTTTTCTTCTTATTGTACGAAAACCAATGTAATTTTAATTGATGGCTTTTTCTTTATATTAAAAATTTTTTTAATAAAGTTTTTGAAGCTTGAAGAAAAGAAAATTGCATTTTAATTTTAATTTTTAGTATTTTAGATTAACACAAAAAAATTCTTTTAAGCTGCAGCACTCAAAAATGATAATTTCAAAATAAAATCAATTTCAATATTTGAGCTTCTATATTGAAAATCTCAATAGTTTTTAATAATCTATCACTTCTGTGGTGATAAATCTTAGAGAATAAATAGGTGTAAGTATTCTTTAACATTTTATTAATTAAAATCTGGTAAGTATAATTTTTAGTTTTCAGAAAAAAAAAATAGTCTTTTCCTTTAATATTTTTATAGTTAATAACAATTAACTTAATTAGTGTGTTATAATTTTTACACAATAAGGGAAGGAAAAACTGCAAATTTTTGTGAATTTTTAAAATATTTGAATTCTTTTAGGAAATTATCAATAATTTTACAAAACTTGTGATGAAAAATTTGTTGTTTCATTGTTTCACTTATTAGTGTGAATCGACTTTTATGAATTAAATTTATCGTTAATGAATTTTGTAATCATCATCATTTGTAAAATTCAAAAAATCTCATGTCATTTATTTTGTGTAATAATCTTCAATGTGGTTATTTACATCTTTGATTTAATTAGTTTTTTCAAACATCTTTAAATTTAACAGTAAGTGAATATTTATAAGGAAAATATTTTACAGTTCATGAATTTTCTTAAAATTTTTTGGTTCGATTTAATGTTTATGATAAATTGAGTTCTAATAATGCTAGTTTTCTAAAAAAGTCCAGGGGTAATATTTGTTTTGTTGAAGAAAAAAAGATTAATTATTGAGAAAAGAGTGAATTTGTACTAAAAAGTTGCTGTTCTCTTGTAATGCGTATTGAATATCGGCGGAACGAATGAAATTTTTCGCGAATATGAATCTATTCTGATTGAACAGATTATCTGATGAATCTATTCTGATTAGCGAATTCGCCTAAATTTTGGCGAATGATCTGTCAAATCTGTCGAATGAAATATGAATGATATTCTGTGTGACAAGCTTGGCGAGTAAAAAATGAAATTAATACATAAGTATTTTTTTATTGGATATTTGGATATTATAGTGTTATAATGGAAAAATCTAAACTATCTGTAAAGTATGTTCATAAAATTCTACAAATTATTGTAAACAATATTGATTACTTAATGTTAATTTAAGCGTGAAAAAAAACGAACCAAAAACGATTCGAGCATTTAAATAAATTAATGGACAACAATCTTGTAATTGACTGACGTCTTGCAGTAGCAATAATTTGGATCATTCGCTTCGTCTTTCATGTTCAGGATAGGCACGAATCAATGTAAACCCGACAAATAATGCTAACATTCTTTAAATTATAAAAAATACGAGTCTCAACAACTGCTTTTTGAACGTTTTCTTTATAGTTTATCGTTTTATAAAATTGATTTAAAAAAAAAAAATTCAACCGCTTGTTAGAACAAAATTGAAAAAGAAAAAAATTTAAAATTAAGGGAAATCATTTACCATACCTGTTTCTATTGAACTTAAAAAAACTGAAAATGATTGTTAAAAGAAAAAATTATTTTTTTATATAAAGTTGGCATGCAATAACTTTTAGCTATAAAAAAAAACTTTTTATAACAATGATCTTTTTGAATATTTTGTTTCTGTGTTAATTTTTGCAACGTTTTCTATAAACTTCTATAAAAAAAAGTAGTAAAAATAGTTTTGACTGAAACATTGCACTTTAAAAATTTTTATTAAATTTTTCTGTAAATTTAAATTTTTTTCTCTTCATAAATGCAATTGTAATACTTTTGATAAAGTCATAATAAAAATTTTGTTTAAATTTTTTATAACACCGCCGTCGTCGTCGTCTTTGAAATGCTATTATGTAACTATTATATCATTTTACTTGAAGAGCAAAAGAAAATAATAATGAGAAATCGAAGAAAAATTTCTCAGAGTACAAAAAACTCATTGTAAACTGGAAATTTATCTTACTTTTAAACATGCTGTAATAAATCTGTGATTGAAAATTGACATAACAATAAAGAATTTTATTACCACTTGGAATTTTTCTATCGTTAGTTGTATAAGAATTTTCATATTTTTTATATTGTTATGAACTTGGGTCAAAATATAAGATTATAAAAAATTTATAATTTCATTTACAATGAATAAATAAAATGTAGGGCTATTATGTCGCAGTAATACAACATTAATTAATATGAAAGCTTATGAGTCGTAATTTTTGATTGCATATCACCATAGAATTGCTGTAATTTTGAAGTCGTGCATACCTTCACGAACAATAGTCTAATATAACAAATTTTTTCAAAGGGGATTAACAAAATATTGTAAATTTTATTTTCTCGATTTTGATTGAACGAATATGATCTGAACAATGAATTAAGGTTTAATTAAAAATTAGTCTTTTTTCCAATCCTATATTGTTAATTAGTTATCCTCATTGGTTATTACTGATAGTGTATTAAGAAAATATGGTACGAATATGGTAATCAAACATGAATAGTCGTGCAAAGGTATTCAGTTTGAAGTAAGCTAATAAATAATTTAAAAAGAGAAACCGTTTCAATATGAAATCATCTACAAGAACCCCGTAATTGGAATATGAAGAACGTAGGAAACATACGCTATGTTGTGCTTTTCTTAAATTCTTAGTATACTTACTACTGTTTTCTATTAGTAATGAATTGCAAGTAGATAAAAACAAATCAAAAAAATTATTTCAATCATAAATTCCCAAAACTTATTTTAAGAAAACAAAAAAATGATAAAAAAAATTGAGCAATAAAAGTCAAGAATAAAAAAAAAGTTTTTCTACGAGAATTTTTCTAAACTTTAAGCCGGAAAATTTTTACGTATAACTTTTAATTTTATATAAAAAAAATTTTAAACGTAACGGGAAGTAAAATGAAATTCTATAAAAGTTTGGCAAACTTTTTTTTTTTTTTTGACAAACATACATACATACATTTATTCATACTCTACTTAAATCATTTTTAATAAAACTGAAAAAATCATAATGATATATAAAATTCTTTTATAGTATAACAGGAGGTATCCAATTTCAAGCCTTAAATTATAGAATTTGAAAAGTTTGTCCATAAAGCAAACAAGTCATTCATTTGATTGTTATGGAAAAAATGTATTTGAACTTGTAATGTGCGAGAGACTTTGTTATCAATAAAAATTTATTTGTTGACAACAAATTCTGTTATTTGTTGTCTCAAGAGGTCGTTGTATACAAGAGAGGTTATCGTTGTATTTATTTATATTTGGAAATCTTTATTTCATATTTCTTAATTTAAAATATGTTTAATTGTAATTGCTAAATTGACTGTAGTATATTAGTATATGTACACACAAATTTAAGGCTTACAGGTATTATAAAATATCTGTAATTAATTTGAAATTCGACAGTGTAACTACCAGTTACAAAGTTTTAAGGTTATAATATTTTATACTACTGAATCTACAGGAAATAAGCAATATTCTTGGCCTCGAATATAAAGAACTTGAAATTGAACCGATTGAAAATTTCTTAAATAATTGTTAAGTTTATATTGAGGTAATTACTACCGAGTTTACAAATATAACAAATATGTAATAGGCTCTACTTTTTAATTAATTCGTCCTTTGTAACATACAGCTCCAAATTTATTTCAAAAACGGATAAATCTAAAAGAAGCTGAAAATCTCGATAAAAGTACAAAGGAACTTAGTAAAACCACATAATGGATCGTTGATAATTTTATTTGGAAGTTGAAATAGATATGTATCACTCTTTGTTCTCATGTATTTGGTTTAAATATTAATATTGATCCACACTTCAGTC